AGCTATCTCTATGTGACCTCTAGACATGAAAGCATGTCTTGATACACGAGATGTTTTGTGCATCAGACTATTTATTTTGGCGGGCTATGAGTATTAATTATGCTACCTAGGAAAGTGCATATCTTTATCAACAACAAAATTCATGATGGAAACAGAAAAAAGATATGAATGAATTTAATTTAATATACCTAAAAGAAAAATAGAGAAAAAGTGTCCATTGTTTATGGGATTCAACAGTTGTAATTGGATTTTGTTGTTAGAGTGTTGGATCAACTTCCCCAACGTTGGGAGCCAACTAGGCAAGATCCATTTCTTTCTTGAAGAATCTTCCTTTAAGTGGAAATAAATTAATATTAAAATTATAAATATTCAAATTAATAGGGAATCTTTGGGAAATTATATGACCTCTTTGTGATCTCCTAGTACCCACTATGAATTTATTCCACTATAGGCAAGTACAACTTGTTGCTCCCACTTAAATTTGTTTATAGTGCTTTAATAGTGGAATCAAAATCTATTTTTTTAAGTCAATAACAATTAGTTTTTGGTGTTACATAATAATCTAGATTAGATATAGATAATTTTTTTGAGTTTAAATATTATGTAATGAAAGTGTAAATAGAATGAATCAAATTGGCTGTAAAGCTGTTAATATACGTTTTCGGGAAGTTTAAAGTGAACGTATAGGAACCTGGTAGGAGAGCTAGATAGATTTCATTTCTAAGAGATGATAAATGAGCTCAACAACAATCATTGATTGGTTAAGTGAAGTTAAAAAAAAGCTGAACTAAGACTCAATAATTCGCCCATCGACTGAGAAAAAAGAAATGATTATGACCTAAATCCTCCGTCACTATCATTTGAGTGCCAATTATGATTAAATCCCTCCGGTGCATAGCTCACAAATTACACAAAAGAAAAACAAGTAAACTAGGTAGTACGATGCGACGAACACGACTAAGAAGACGTTAACAAGCTGGAAATCGATCGCTAACCAACTCCCTTATGAGATATCACCTGCAGCACCAACTCAACCACTCTTACGAGTTTTTTTTTTTAGGATTTCTACCTAATGAGTTACTATAATATCTTGTGAAAGGGTAAATTATTACATTATTAAAAAAAAACACATTTTAAAGGACTCTTTGACTCATGGGGTACATGAACCAAAAGTTGACTATATGAGCATGCACATGGAAATTTATAGTTACAAAGTATGGTGGACGTACTATTTATGCAGGCAAAATTTCATATATTGGAGTTTTACCAGAAATGTCTCTATCAATAAAAGTTAGTGGGTGGTTTCTTGTATAAGTAAACTCCACTCTAACGTACCGTCTAAAACTTGCTCAAAACACACCAAAATTCGAATCTTTATAAAATAGTCAATAATATTTACCACTTATATTCGAATGCATAAATTATACTTTTGTTAACTATTTTTTTAATTTGAACGATTGGAAAGACGACTATTTAATTAATTATTCGATAGTGCCAAATGCCTAAATATTGTTCACTCCCACAACTTTGGGATTATTGAAAGTTTCTTTAAAACAAGCAATATGATCTCAATTATTGAACATAGTTACTAATTATAGAAAACTTGTTTAAAATGATCAACACATATGCACAACATTGTTTCTCTTTAATAAGTGTGTTTATTTGAGAAAGGGGTGGGGTGGGGGGTATTATTGGCTCAACTCAAGACGGACGGTGTGCATGCATAGGATCAAATAACATCAAATAAGGTAGCTTAGCTTGCACATGTAAAATTAGTAGATGGGATAACCAATGGTGGAGCTACACTAGTTGGTCGATATCCTTTCACCTTTAATCAGAGAAGAAATTTCATTTTTGAGGGCATCTTTTTAGATTATAAGTAATAAATCTTTATGTGTACCCTCAATTTGCCAAGAAAAGCGAGTAATTGAGTTAAATATGACATGTTATGTTCGTAACAAATCAAATTATTAATTTGACTCATTTTGATCAAGAGAATTAAACCAACACATTTTTAAGGTTTTTTTTTTTTTTGGTGGAGAAGTGGATTACAATGTGAGGAATCGAACTCTCACCAACATAACCAACCAACTAAGCTATTAAGATTCCCATTTTTTAAGGGTAATTTGTGCAATTTCAAAATTAAATGTGGACTCAACCCATTAATTTGCCCCCTTCTATTCATAAGTTGTCTTTTTAATACTTTCCAAAAGCTCTTTTGGCTCTTAAACTATAGCATCTTGCCTCTATATATATACCTCAAGTATCACCTTCAAGAATATTCATACCTACCACCAACCCAAGTACAAAGAGAGAATTATCACTACTCTTTGGTTTTCCTTAATTAGAAATGGCTCAACCAAAAATTATATACACTTGTGCTTTTTTCCTAGCATTAATCTTCTTCTCTTATGGGATTTTGTTGAGTGAGGGAAGGGTACTCTTGAAAAAAGAAAAGAACAACAACACAATATTTAACCATCATGGAGAAAATAGCCATAGAAAAGTAGTGAAGAATAACTACTTCAACAATATTGGTCATGATGATCATAACAATATGCATGGCAATATTAATATTTCAGAAGAAGGAGGTCCTGGCCATAGTCCTGGTGTTGGTCATGGAGGTGGACCCCCATGATGGAATGTAGGGTAGGACGTAGCAGCTTTGATCCAAACCTTATATACGTATCATGATATTCACAATTATGCATAAATATTAAGTTCCAAATTTCGTCATTAGCACTTAAGGTTGTTATCATAAAAAATCTGAACCCATAAAGTTCAAATTCTTAATCTATCCCTCGTGAAATAATATATAAGCCCCGGGCCATGAATTGATTGATTATGACAATTACTGTACTTTAAATTTATTGGATTAGGAAGTTGGATATAGTATATATGTAGTATATATTTATTCCAAATTTACTAGTCTTGAATCGTATAGGGTCCTAAAGGGAGAAACATTTTCTACTAAGATATGTTTTTCCGTTTCACTACACACTCCTTGATTATAATACTAGTATTATTTCCCTTTTTGTGACCTAGTTTAACATGTTGATATATAAAATAGGTCACATATCTCTATTGTGATTTAAATCTTATCATTATATAAACCGTGTAATATAAAGTTTGTATTGTACTTTATTGGTTTGTGAAGTATAATTTGTTATGTATGTATTTAAGTTTCGTTTTAATTATCTAAACTTCAATGAATATATAAAGCAAATGGGATGATTTAGAAAAATTAATAACGATTTCCCAAATTAATTTGAAATCTTATTTTGGAAAGACAACGTCTAATTAGATTTTATATCTAAAATTTTAGATATGCTTATTTTAGAACTCTAAATTGGAAATTGCCATACCACACTCTTAAAAGGAAAAAAAATTCATAGAATATTTTTGTTAATAATCTTGTTATAGCATAGTTTACACAAGATATGTATTTTTTTTTAAGGAAAAAAACTTGTTAACATTGATTCTTTTTATCTATTTTTCTATTTTCATTATCTTAAAAGACTTGGAAACAAAAACCTGAAAACTAGTTCTTTTGAAGTGTTACTACTACTATTAAAGTGGAGAAGGATATACTTTATTTATTAGTAAAATATTATTTTATATTTATTTTGTAATTATAACTTCATTTTTATATTCGAAATTTATCGCGAACAGACAAAAAAATAGTAAATTTTAACTGTGTATCTATCTAAATAATATTGGAAAATGATAATAATTAATGGTTGCACAAGACATTGCCTGAAATTCAATGATCAATTTATTACATCGTGCTCATTTTTATTGGCTCCTCCACTAGCTCGATAACTTTACAATAAACACCTAAATGAATTAAATATTACGATTATAAATTATTTTTAATAATTTTATTATAGATACCCTATGCAATTAGTTTAAATATGTGTTTGAATAATTAAAAATATTAAACCTAGTACTCTTGAATAGTTATAAAAAGCTTCAAATTACAAATATACTCTTAAGTCATATATGTCTTTAACTATATTCAAACAAATCAAATTAATTTATTCACAGAAAAATCATTACTAGACTGTATAATGGGTATGTTTCAATTTTTTTAATCGTACTTTCCTTTTCAATTCTTTTACTAAAAAATATCTTTCTTTTGTTTATATGCATTGTTTTTAATTTTATTTTTTTCACATAACTTTTTTAAGATAATAATATGAAATAAATATTTTGGTACATTTTAGTACCTTTAGTTTAAGACAATACAATTTTAAAATCTTATTTATTTTTAAAAATTGATTTCAAATAAAAATTGAACATATATGAGACAAATTATAAACATTGGTATAAAATCAGAAGGATAAGTTGTTAAAGAATTACCTAGGTACGGTCCTTAATTCGAAGTTTCGGGTTCGATTTTTTCTAAGTATAAACTACAGAGTCACCCTTGTAAAATACCATTTATAAAATTTTTCCATGTAAATCCAAATTTTATCGAATTTTAATATGAAACCAAATTTTGTTTTTACCAAATCCAACAATTCTGCTCTGTTTTTTTTTTTTTGGGGAGGGGGTGTGAGACAATTCTGTTATTGCCAGTACAATTAATAGCACACAATACTTTTCTGTCATACGTCTATCACTGTAAAAACCCATCAAAATAAAGAGTACGTAAAAAATCTTACTTTCACTAAAATCAATATAATAACTGTATGTCTGTAACTGTAAAAATAATAAAACTAAAAGGTGCAAAAAGACAAATAAAAATAGTTACTCTAAAAACTGTAGCCGACCAAATTTATACGAATTAGGTAAAAATAATTAATCAATATATATCCAAAAACATTCTTTAAAATCAACGGTTGATATTAATAGACCACCGTTTAATCCAACGGCTGATATTTGATACAGGGCTTCACTGAATCCGTCATCCTCCTCATAAATCTTCTTTTTGCAATCAGATTGACCTATACTTACAACCATATCTATCTCTATATATTTTTTCCTTTTTTTAATTATTATTATTTATATTTATTTATAGTAAGTATAAATTAAAGTTTTTTTTTGTGTGAGAGTTTACTCTAGGGTTTGAGGTAAAGATGCAGAGTAACAATGGTACTGAATCTCAAGACAATAAGCAGCCGCCGCCGCCGCCGCCGCCGCCGTCGTCACAGGGAGCGACGTCTCCG